CTGCTGAAGGCGTTTCCATTTGAAAGTTTCACCCAAAGTCAGATCAGAATTATCCTTTTCCTGCTCTTGGGAGAGTTCCAAAAACACCTGGAATAGGCAAGATAAAATTCTGATTTCTCTGACTTTCACTAGACACTGTGAAGGGAGGTACAGCTCTGCAAGCCTGAGGAGAGGGATGTGAAGTAGCTTTATGTGGGGAGCATATATGAGGTGGCTGACACTTCTCTGCTCTCTGCTATAACCTGCTGAGAGGCACTGGTGGCTCAGGTGAATCTGTAGAGTAGGTTTTACCCACCAATGGATGGACATAAACATTTCTTGTCTTTGCCACCAGCAACAACCAGCAGCAACCATAGAGGCTGGGCATGGGCATCTACCAAGGGCATCCAGCCTTTGGCTGTGCTCTCTTGAGTGAGTGGAGTCAGGCAGTAACCCCTTCCTAGGCTTGTTCCCACCACGCTAACACCCACCAGTTAAAAAAAAACACCAAAACAAACCAAAACATTTTTCACCACTTTCCCAGTAGATGAGCCCTGGCCCACCACCCCAAGGCAGTTTCTTGGTGAAGCAGCCTCCTGCCAGTGCACTGTCATGGGTCTGGCTGTGGCTTTTATTCCTGCTCAGGCCTTCACAACATATCTAGCCTTGAAACCACCTGCCTGAGCCAAAGTGTTCAGAGAGAAGCTGTACTCCTCCAGGTTGAAGTTCCGTTTGGCTGTGGAGAAACGGGAAGAGAGCAGAAAATTAGCAGTCTGTGTTCCACCTTTTCAAAAAGTCATCGTGTTTTGCTCTTACCTTCCTCTAGCTTGGAGAAGGACTGAGATAGGGGCAGTGCATCTTTCATTGGGACCTTGTAGACTAGCAAACTGGGGAACCTTGAAGAAAGAGAATAAAAGGTGATTCTTGCTCTGCATTGGGTTCTGAGATCAAAACTTTATGTCATGCATGCATGGACATTTTGCTGCAGGGATCCCCGCAGGGTTGGGTGTGGTGACACAATCAAATCAGATCCCCATACACGGACTCTGAGCTGCTCATCCCTCCCCAGAGATCTTGTGTCTGCCCATCACACTGGGCATGTTTCTAGGGTTGAGGTGTTGAAACCACCATCCCATATTTTATAGTTACCGCTCCTGACGGGCTGCGCTTGGGAAAATCCTCAAAACCTCAGCATGGAGACGATCAGCGTGCTCTGGATCCTTGACCTTCATTTCCAGCACATAGACTTTGCCAAACTTGTCCTTCAGGTACTGAATGGAGCCAATGCACCTGCAGGGCAGGGAGGACAAAAAGAAGAGATGTCAGTGCAAAACCGCTGGTGCCCCACCACCTGCTCCTTCCCAAGTTGTGCTGCTGGAGGGATCATGGGGAGCACTTTGTGAAGCCCACAGTGATGGGATCAGGCAGGTGAGGCTGGAGGAAAAGCCCCTGTCTGTGTGGGGGCTGTTTCCCAGCTCAGGCTCGTGCTGCTGCCACCCACCGTAGCTGCCCGGAGACCATGATGGCCACGCGGTCACACACGGCCTCCGCCTCCTCAGTGGAGTTAGTCGTCAGGATGGCTCCTGTCTCCTGGGTTTTCAGGGCAGCACGAATCATCTTCCTGAGGAGCAGAGGAAGGGAAAAGAAAGCTAACACTCCCTAGGAATATCAGACATTTTTTCTTATATCTTTGCCCCTCAAAATGCTTTTTTCCCTAAACCGTGTAAAAATTTGACATACAGCAGCTTTAGCCTGATGTGCTCGTGGTCACACTGAAATAATGACCAAAAAATATTTTTTACTCTATTTCTTCTATAAATTTTACTAAATCCCATATATGACTCTCCTAAAATTTGCAAGAAAGATGAAGGCAAAATGTTTTGTCTCTCCCTGCTCATAGTTTAGCTGGAGAGGACCAGGAAAATGGAGTTTCCAAGGAAACCTCTGGCACGTGATGATGAGCACTAACTGCAGATGGGGTAAAACACTCCTTACCTAACTTAACCTTACCTAACCTTAGGCAACCACTCTTGGCTTCCAAGAGCACACAGAGCCTGGGGGGCCACAGTGCCTGAGGTTTTACTCACCAGAGCAAGTGCTGCCCCTTGGGGTCCATGCCAGTTGATGGCTCATCCAGGAGTAGGACAGTGGGGTTGCCCAGCATACACATGGCAAGGCACACCTAACACAGGGAAAAGGGCTGGAGTCAAAGCTTTTGCAGCCCCTGGCACAATGACTAGAAAGAGCTGTAGGCACCATTGTTTCTTTTATGAGAGTTTATAGGAAATACGTTTTTGGAAAAGCTCATTTCCATCAGCCCACCATGGGAGACAACATGATGCTCTCCCAGGTCCTTCTGCTCATGGAGAGTATTTTTGGTTTGTGCTATGAGGGCTGCAGTGATCATTACAGGTTAAACAAAACACACCTTTCTGGTTATCCCAGTTGACTCTGCTCATGGAGAGGATTTTTGGTTTGTGCTATGAGGGCTGCAGTTACAGGTTAAACAAAACACACCTTTCTGGTTATCCCAGTTGACAGCTGTCTGGGTTTTTTTTTTAAATAGTCTTGAAGCTGCAGAGCAGTCACTATCCTGTGGGGAAAGGGAACAAGAAAAAAGCAAAAAGAACATTTTGGTTATTCCCAACTCATTAAGTGTGGCCAAAATGATAAGAAAATTTAACTTTCTTCCCCTTGCTCTTGACTTCTGCTTGTTTTCATTATACATTTATTGTGTTACTAAAATGTAAGTGAATATTTGAAGCAAAGTGTACTGAATAAGCCACAAGTTCCTTTCTAAACCCATCCTCAGTGTCAACAGCATGATAAATCCATTTCAACTTTGCTGGTGTCAGCCGAGCAGGAGGTGTTTAAACACCCTTTCTTGTAGTGCCAGAATGTAACATGAGATATTTTAGAAATGCTTCCTGAAGATAACACACTTAAAAGGACATTAGCAGTAAATGTATCCCCACTAAATGCTCTTAGGCAAATGGGAAATTTTCTTAACCCACTCACGTAGTCACAACATTTAGCACAGAAGCACTTGGGTGGCTCCATTTCCTGAGTTTCAAGGTTGTCTCTGGCTCACAGTGAATTTGGACTTTATGTTCCCCCACCCATGCCCTGGGACTGAGGGATAAAATGCTGACCAAGCCCTGGAAGACCCGTGGCTCCATTTCCTGAGTTTCAAAGTTGTCTCTGGCTCACAGTAAATTTGGACTTTACGCTCCCCCACCCACGCCCTGGGACTGGGGGATAAAATGCTGACCAAGCCCTGGAAGACCCCCCACCCGTACCGGTTGACAGCAGCAGTTGTGTCCTCCTTGCGCACCCCTTTCACGGCAGCGTAAACCTGCAGGTGCTCGTGCACGGTGAGGTCCGGCCAGAGAGGGTCCTTCTGTGGGCAGTAGCCCAGGGAGGAAGGCACGTGGTCCTGGAGGGAGAACGTTGCTCCATCTCCCGTCTTCATCAGCACCTGCACAACCAGGCTGGTGGGTTTCCTCTCACCTTGCCCAGGTACAAGGGTTACGGTGCAGAGGGGTTATGGTTCCTGTCCCTGGCAGTGTTCAAGGGCAGGTTGGATGGGGCTCAGAGCAACCTGGTCTAGTGGGAGGTGTCCCTGCCCATGCAGGAGGGTTGGATCTAGGTGATCTTTAAGGTCCCTTCCAACCCAAACCATTCTATGATTCTGTGAAGAAGACTATGGGCTTCACTGGGATTCAGGTGAGGAAACCCGAAGTGCAAGGGTGTGAGTTTGCAGCCCTCATTTACATGCTTTCCTAATATTAACATGCTTTCCTAATATTAACATGGCCACTTATGGTAGGTGCAACTGCTTGTCAAAGTTAGAAGTAGATCACAGAATTTTTCATTAATACATTAAGAAGAAGGATAATTAAACTGATAGAGGGTCTAGAGCACAAGTTTTAAAAGGAGCAGCTGAGGGAACTGAGCTTGCTTAGCCTGGAGAAAAGGAGGATAAGAGGAGTCCTTGCTCTCTACAGCTGAGAGGTCTCTTCTCCCAAGTAATAAGCAATAGAACAAAGGGAAATGGCTTGAAGTTGTGCAAGATGAGGTTTATATTAGGTATCAGGAAAAATTTCTTCCCCAAAAGGGTTGTGAGGCCCTGGCACAGGCTGCTCAGGGCAGAGCTGGTGTCACCATCCCTGAAGGGATTTCAAAGACATGTATGTGTTGCTAAGGGGGACAGTTTATTGGTGGATCTGGCAGTGTGCTGGTTTGATAGCTGGATTTGAAGATCTTAAAGGTCTTTCCAACCAAAATGATTCTGTGATTATTTAATGACACAGTGAATTCAGTTAAAACCTTGATAATTAATAATGCTTTGAAAAAACCCCTATAACTAAGCCTCGGTGCAAGGTTTGCACTTGCCCTTTTCTGATGGATCTGTCCCTTTTCTCCAGGCATCTCCTACCTGCCCAGCAGTCAGTGGTGTCCCTCCAGTAATCATCTTGATAGCTGTGCTCTTACCAGCTCCATTGGGCCCCAGAAGTCCTAATACTTCTCCTGGAATCACCACACAGAATTTCTTAGTAATACTCCTCATTCAACAAATTTATCAGGCACAGCCCCACAAAGGAAAAAATACAAAAGAGAGCATGCTAGTATCAAATATCTTATTAAACAGTATAAATGTATGTTCTGAGAGCCCATAACATTTCAACTCTTGACTGATGCTGAGATGCTTTTAGAAGCCCCTGCTGAATTGGACCCTGGACAGAGGGGGCTGCAGGATTTTAGATAACACTGAGTCAAAGGTAACCAACGAGATGCATCCACCTCACATTGCTCACTAACACATCAGCCACAGATCAAACAGGCCTGAACCACAGAGCAAATACCTTGACCTTTATGTCCTTGCTCAGGTCACTGAGAATCTGCAGAGAATTAACTCCCTGGTGCGACTGGGGCTCCCAAACAGGTCTAGGAGAATAATTCCAGTTCTCACCTTTTTTAACACAGAAGGAGATATTTTTGGTGGCTATTTTCTTCTTCTTCTTCTTCTTGCAAATGGAACCACCTTGCTTTATTTTATATTCCTTGCACAGATTGCTGACTATAATGGCTGATTTCTGAAGTGAGGAGGAAGAAGAAAGATGAGTGTATGATCCTGGATAGCATCAAACCTTCAGTAATATTACTCCATTAACAAAGGCAGAAAACTTTCTAAAGGTCTTTTGAGTTCCTTGAGAATCTGAGGTGCAACAGGAACACAGTATTGTAGGTGTTAGTTAGGTTACCATTGGTGGTAGTTAGTTGTACCTCCTCCTCCTGACTTGGAGCAACCATGGCCATTTTCACTGCTGCTCTTTCAGCTTTCACATCTTCATCTTCCTCTTCAAGCTCCACGGGGTGCTGGTGGCTACTCTCTCTTGGGGAAGTCCTACAAAGCAACCAGATTAATCCTGCCATTTTGGTCTTTGTTCTCCACCAATGCATTTTGGATAGACCAAGAGTGAGTGTCCCTCTGTTTCAACGTTTCTTGTGGGTTTTTATAATTTATTATTAATTTTGAATATTTGTAATCTTTTTGTGTTGTACAAAGAACCAGGCTGGTACATCCACACAGCACAGGCAACACGGTGTGGTGGTGCAAACAAGCTTGAGAGCTGGTTTATATTATTGTAGAACTGCAGTATTTAAGGGGCTATTTTAGTTATTAAAAACCACCAGTACTAAAAATATTAATATATTTTCAAGTAGGCAATGATATCTGATCAAAATGTTGTCTTGAAGGGAGTTTAGATCTTGCATGTACCTGTGGTGCTTGTGTGTTTATACAAACCTAAATATTGGGAGCCTTCTCAGAACTGCTTTTCCACGTAGTAGCTCCAACGATAGAAGGAGAACAATGAAATACACGGAGTGGATGTAAGGCTGGAAAAAAAAGTTGCCATGTTAACAGCTTTGCCTTCCATCCACCTACAGCTGTAACTGAGGAGATGGGGGCAGTGATATAAAATATGTGGGGGAAAAACACAGTATGTAAGGATAAAAAATTCATTAACATTTAAGTGCAGGGTAATCCTGAAGGCTGTGAGCTCTACAGGCACTTACTGCAGAAAATACCAATAGTAGAAGACAAACAATTCATAAAATAACAGGACAGCATTAAGAGATCTGAGCTTGTTTCATTTTCCCTTCCCCATTTCAAAGGGTCTGTCACCCAAACCCACCAAGAGCCTCCTTCTGCATGAAGTGAGCTCAGGGCTCCTGCCTCCTTCCTCATCCCTGAGGGCAGGATTTAGGGGACACACATTCCTAAATTAAAGTAATCTTAAATGTTTTCTTACTGCAAAGACAGCTATTAGTACATGATGCTGCACAATCTGAGTGAGTAAGTAAGCTTCTGGTATAAAAATCTATAAAAAAAAAAAAAAGACAAAAAATTACACAATGAAGACCTGTAATTCTTCAGTAAACCACTGGCTAACTTTGTAATGCTTAAAGCAAACAACAAATACTTTGAAAATGTACAAAACCTTTTGATTTACCCAAAATATTCCCGTACAGATTAACAAATAGAGATGTTTGTCTATGGGCATCCCAGTCCTGTACTAGAAAGTGTCACAGCACTCAGTATCTGACAGACCTTCTGGGGGCAATGGCCTATCACAGGAAAACATCTGGTCTCCTCTCCTTTGGGGTCCCACTGGAGAAGAGGTAGAGGTGAGTGGGACAGGACAGAAGAGTCTTTTCTATTTGGGCTTCACTACTGGGTCATTTTTGGCTCATAAATTGTCTTCCACATATCTGGAGGCTTTTGTTAGATTTTTAGCTGACTTTCCACAATCATCCTGAGCTGATGTGGAGTAAAGTGTCTTGTGAGTTTTCTTCGTTCTCACTCAGCTTCCATGCAAAGTCAAATGTTTAACTTCAAATTTTCTCGTATGACTTTTCAAGCCGAGTTACTTGACTCTGCATGGCAAGAATGAAGAGTGCTCATCTAATCATAGGATGTCTTGGTTTGCAAGGGTCATCTAGTCCAACCCCCCTACAATAAGCAGGGACATCTCACACTAGAACAGGTTGTTCAGAGCCCCGTCAAGCCTGACCTTGAATGTCTCCAGGGATGGAGCCTCCACCACCTCTCTAGGCAACCTGTTCCATTGATCCACCACCCTCATATGAAAGAACTTTTTCCTAATGTCCAACCTAAATCTACAGACACAGCTCAAATGCACAAAGTAGCCTCCAAGCCTTAATGAACACTTGGAAAAATTAGATCTGATCCAAAATGGCCAATTAATGAGGCACTCTGGCCATTTGGGAAATCCCACCCAGAAGAGGGAACCAATGAGGCTTCCCAGGACACAGCCTGTGGTTACCACCAGATGTTGCTCACAAGGACACATGGTTGTGTTTTATGATGGAGTTCCTCTCCTTGCCCAGTGCCACCACTTACATGGCAGGTGAGGTAGCTTATAGGCAGCAGTGGGTACACAGGAATCAGGAGACACACAACGTAGAGGGAGGTAACAGGACTGATTTCGAAGTCCATGATTTTACTGATGATTAAAGAAACAATGCATACCTAAAGATAAAGTAAGAGGGTAATTTAGCTGATGGGAAGGGTTATGATCCTCACTGGTCTTAAAAATTGTGTGCATCTATCTTTTCAATTCCCTGTTAAATTTCTAAAGGCAGACAAGACATTTAAAAGTGAGAAATGGTGAGGGTTCAGGAGGTCCTTGGCTGTTTCTGCCTAATGATGGGCTGCTGGTTTGGGTCAGCCAGAGAGACTTCTTCCCAGGCATGGGGCTGCCTCAGGCAGAAGAATGGAGTCTGGATACCAATTTGTTCTTTCCCACCTCTGTTCATTCCAAATAACCCACCTCTTTCCAAGTCAGGTTCAGGCTCTCTGCATCTGACCTGATGGCCCGTGTCTCAACACCTTACATCTCTTGGATGTGAGGTGTTGAACAGAGCAATAAATAACAATTTTTGCCTTCATTCCTGCACCAGCCCAGAGTGGATCCAAGCATTTCCCTGTGCCACTGCAGGATGGTGGGAACAGAACATGGTGACAGGAATTTAATACAGAACTGACTACTATAAAACACACACCCGAATTTATGTTCTACATCTATATTTGGTGTTTTGACCTCTAGTTCACCCTTAAAATCTCAAAATACATTTCTGCAAACCCTGCAGCACATTACAAAGCCACATGCTTACCACTGTCAGGATAAAAGACCAAAAATTACAGTTCCATCCTTTGCAGAAGATGAAGGAGATGACATAGATGAGGAGAACAATGGAAATTCCATAGCCACATGTACCCATGATCTACAGGGGGGGAAAAAATATTGAAAAAAATGGAGTGTTGTCCACAACCTATATATGTAGTTCAGTTTGGACAATCATACATTGAGATCAGGGTATTCATAAATGACCACAACTTTACTTCTAAGTGTAGAAGAGTAAATTCAAGCAAGATTTATTGCCTTTTATCTCCAGCTGGAGAAACCCAAATGATAGGAGGTGAAACTAGGAGGTCAGTAAGCATCTGGGGACCCAGAGGTTTGCCAGCACCATCTGCACCCACACTGTCTCAGCTACCCCCTACACATGCTCAAAATATGACTCCAATCCCTCCCTAGGGAAATGATCACCAGAACAACATGTACCAGGCAGAAGAAGGTATAGAAGCTCCCAGAAATCTCATATGACTCCAGTCCCTCCCTAGGGAACCGATGATCACCAGAACAACATGTACCAGACAGAAGAAGGTATAGAAGCTCCCAGAAATCTCGTTGCTCATGGCAAACTGAAGCCCAAACATGGAGAAGAGAAGAAACCAGCAGAGTGGGATGTCCACCAGTGCGCGGCCAATGGGGGAAAATCCCACCTCTGTTTTTGGTCTTCTGGCACTTTGTGCTGGCTGCAAAGCTGCTTATGGCAGTACAGAGAAAAACACCTTGGGCTGCCCATTGTGTTCAAATGTCCCCATGGCAGTACAGTTGCAATCCCACCCCAAATCTGCTTCATTTCAAATAATTTACCTTGTAATCCTGCACGTAGCCCATTGCAAAGTGAGCAGGACAAGCAGGGAATAACAACGGCATGTAAATGCAGTAAAAAGAAATAAGGTGACTCCGCAATTCTGAAAGATTTATCTGAAAACAGAAGCACAAAGCATTTGTAAAAAACATCTGTAAAAACATCTGCAATGCAATGGCTAGCTGCCACAGTTCATCTGACTGCATTTCTCATGAGGTACGGGGCACTATGAACACCAAATGGGATTGGAAGTCAAATATTGGCAGGAGGAAGGTTTTCCTCAAACCATAGCCCTGCAAAGTGCTTGTGACTGGTGAGGAGAGATGGGAGGTGCAGGTCCCATTTCTCCATCCTAGCTGTGTGGTGAGGTATCTCTTCTGTCAATTGATGAGCCACAGCTTGGATAACATGATGTAGAGAATATGGAAGAAACCCTCCCACCCTCCCCAGAAACCCTCTCACCCTCCCCAGAAACCCTCTCTGTTCAGCAACCCTGAAGACCCAACAAGGAAAAATTAACTTCAGCTTTCCTGAAGTCAAACATGATGTTCCCAGAGCCACCAGTGAGGAGGGTGGGTCTACAGGTACAGGCAGCCCCACGTGGCTTCCCATTAAAATCTGATCACTACTGAGATCTTAAGCAGATTTAAGAACTATTTTCTGGCACCTTCTGGCTGGCAGGCTGAGACACTTACAAAGACAAACGGGTGGCTCCAGACCCGAATGTGCGCCGTGGAGTTGAGGGCTCTCAGCAGAGAGTTGCTGATGACGTTGACAAGCACTGGGAAGCAGTTGATGGCCTCTATGTGGCATAACACACTAAACCTGTAGCTCTTCAAAGAGCAAGGAAACAAGATGAGAACTCTTGGCTTCTCTTGCAGGGAAGCAGCAACAGAAGTGTGCCAGGAGAATCCAGGCCTAAAATAATTTGTTTTGCCCAGGCTTTGTTTGCTAAAACAGGAGTTACCAGGTACTGGAGGTCTGCAGAGCTGTGCTGCAAAAATCCCACAGAGCTGGTGGAGGCATTTGGGTTAATTATTCAATTGCTGGGAATAAACAGGAGGAAGAGATGGAAAATCCTCACCTGGCCTTTGCGGGACACCTGTATAGCCCCGTTGTGTTTTAGCTCCTCCGTGATATTTTCCTGGCTTGTTATTTCCACTTTGAGATCTTGGCTCTCAAGAGTGCGGATAAAGTCTTCAATGGCTGTGCCTGGTGTGAAAGCCAAAAGCAAAGGAACTGTAATCCTGAAGATCAGAGAATCTCTGATGGTTTGTTGGTTTCTTTAAAAGCCATGACCACCAAACAAAACCAGAGGAAGTCTGATAACTGTGGATGTCAGCACAGATGTGGTGGATCGTTGCACATTCATTTCTGTGAAGTTACTGGATTTCAGTTTCAATGACTGAATCTTGCATTGCCTTTTTCCTTTTTTTCTGCCCTTGCTGAGTTGCTACAAAATGTGTTTTCCTTACTGACAACCTGATGAAGCCACCAGTATCATTGTCTGGCAAACAATATGAGATAGCATCCACTCATAGGGAAGGGACAACTCTGGAAGTTGACTGCTAATCTGAGCCAGCAGGAGTGAGCCCTTACTGGTGCCTGGTTTGAGGATCCCAGTCTGAAAATGTAGAAATTGCTTGGACAGAGATCTGCATTTGGGGCAGGGAAAAAGAAATGGATCCCTTCTAATCCCATCTGCTACAGTTCCCTTTTCACATCACTGCATCAGCTTCACCAGCTGCTGAAGCCAAAGGAGGCTTCATTCACAACCCTTTAGAAATTACAATTTCTGTGCTCTTCTGTCACTAAAACCTTCCCCTGAGTCCCCTCCATCCTACACCTGTCTGCTCCTTCCAGTTATTTCCCTTTGCAACAGCAAGAAGCCCTAGAATAGGAAAGAGAGATGGAGGAAGGGCTCGTTCCCCTCACCTGTGCTGTTTTGGACCAAGAGGCTGGTGGTGTCTGAGCGAGCCCTCTTCCCCAGGGGCAGGAAGTACCGTGCTGCTGAGAGCTCCCAGGCTCCCAGGCTATTCCAGGCAGCAAGCAGGAACAGTTGCAAAACCACAGGAAGCAGAAGAACCACATAGAGCAGCAAACTACATTAAGAAAGAGATGAATAAACACTCTGAAAACAGACATTCAGCAGCATGCTGAACTGGAATATACTCTGCCATCGGGCATGAGATCATTTACTCTGGTTACCCAATGCTTTGTTTGTTACAATTTTTGGCAATTTTCTTTTCAGAAGTCTCAAACCTTGATCATTCACCAGGGGCCTCAAAATTTAGCAGGGAGAGGACATCAGATCTCCCAGTGCTCAACTTTTTAGGGCCATGAAATGCCTTTTAGACTTCCTCTTTTCATAGATGAGCCTGTTCCTTCTGTTTCTTGTGCCCCACCAGGGAACACCAGCAGGCCAGATTGAAGACCAGTAGGGTCAAATCAGTTCAGATACTGGCAAAATGAGAAAAATTAAGAAAAATAAAAATAAAATTAAAAAAAAAAAGAAAAAAAAAAAAGGAGGAAGTCTGAAAGCAGTACTTTTGCCTCCTCTCTCTGGACACTAGTTTTATTTTAAAACTTCCTCCTGGAATGGATTCCCCTTGCATAAGACACTCAGTATAGAACTGAAAATGCACAAGAGGCAGATTTTATGTTACTGGCACTGGAAAGGCAGGAGTTTTCCTCCCTGAGTGCAAACTACCAAGGTCATTCATAGCCAAGACCTGATATCACTTAATCCAAGCACTCATCAAAACAGGGGTGTGAAGGTTGTTCCCCCTGCTGTGACCTGTGTCCAGTTCCAGATCTGCAAGAGAGAATCACTTTGATACTTACATTGACCGCAGGGTTTTCACTGAACTTTTAAGCTTTAAGAAATGGACCCATGCCATGGCAGAGACCTGCTGCCTCCAGAGAGCCCAGCTGCTGAGTTCCACCTTCTTCCCATCCGAGAGCAGCAGGGAGCCCAGCTCTGTCTCCCCAGGGCTCCGCGGTCCTGCACCTTCCCTCTCCTCCCCAGGGACACACTCATCTGCAGAGAGGTTTATGTCTGAGATCAGCTTCTGCATTGCAATGTATGAAAAATTAAGAGCTGCCTCCTAACCAGCTGTTGGAGGCATGCCCAGGGGTTACTGCAAAGTAGCCACCCTCTTCAGCTACAGGTGGTGTATTTGCAGCCACCGTTGTACCTTCCTCATCCACCGTGGCTTCTTTCTCCAGTCTCTGGAAGACATCCTGCAGGGTTGTCATGCTAACTCCATAATTGATAATCCCCTGGTTGGAGCAGCTGTCGAGGCCACTGAACAGATCTGCAGGACAGAGATAACACAAGTGCCTTCAAGGCTTCCAACATAGGCAGGTATCTCCAAATCAGACTTTGCTTCAGTTGAGTTAGGCTGACTGGAGCATCTCCAGCCACAGGTAAAATGGTAAAGAAGTGAGCAGAGGATCTGGAGGGACATAAACTGTCAGGTCATTGAAGATGTTTTCCTATTTAGCACCAGTTTAGGTTTTTCACTACAAGCACTGGAAAATATTGTACATTTTGATCTTAAGCATACAGGTGTTAAACTGGGGCGGGGCGGGGGGGGGAAGACAAGATGCAACAGTTCTGAAGTCCTTATGTGACTCCTGTAGAAAATGTCCCTCTTGGTTTCTCTCTCCCCCCATTTGTGATTATTTTTTTTTTTTCCTCTATGGACAATCCTCAGTTGTTTTAATACACGTTACCTGGGAATTTATTTGTGTTTTCTAATGGCAGTTTGTATCTCAGCTCATACTGGCTGTGTCCTGAGAACGTGGCGTTGGGGATGTGCTGTTTCACCACCGCTGTCACGGTCCCCGAGTCACAAGACTCACTGATGTGGATCCTGCTCAGTTGAAAAAAACCAGAAGCTTAGCTTGGGGAAAAAAAAACCAAACCAAACCACAAGCCACAACAACAACCCAGCCAAACAACAGCCACCATTGTATTTTCTAGGATATAGCAAACAAACTCCAGCATCCTTCACTCATGCCTTATTCCAGAGCCACGTGCTGCTTCACTTAGTGTAACTGAATATTAATTCAGTTAACTTTCTTGTTTTGGTGGCATCTGTCTGTGGTTTCCTTCCTACAGTGACTTTGCAGGCTCCTTGTACATGCATGTCGGGGGGGGGGATAGACAAGATGCAACAGTTCTGAAGTCCTTATGTGACTCCTGTAGAAAATGTCCCTCTTGGTTTCTCTCTTCCCCCATTTGTGATTTATTTTTTTTTTTTCCTCTATGGACAATCCTCAGTTGTTTTAATACACGTTACCTGGGAATTTATTTGTGTTTTCTAATGGCAGTTTGTATCTCAGCTCATACTGGCTGTGTCCTGAGAACGTGGCGTTGGGGATGTGCTGTTTCACCACCGCTGTCACGGTCCCCGAGTCACAAGACTCACTGATGTGGATCCTGCTCAGTTGAAAAAAACCAGAAGCTTAGCTTGGGGAAAAAAAAACCAAACCAAACCACAAGCCACAACAACAACCCAGCCAAACAACAGCCACCATTGTATTTTCTAGGATATAGCAAACAAACTCCAGCATCCTTCACTCATGCCTTATTCCAGAGCCACGTGCTGCTTCACTTAGTGTAACTGAATATTAATTCAGTTAACTTTCTTGTTTTGGTGGCATCTGTCTGTGGTTTCCTTCCTACAGTGACTTTGCAGGCTCCTTGTACATGCATGTCCCCAGATGCTCATTTCTGGGGCTGAAGTAGATACCTTAAATGATAGCCAATCCCCCATTTTTTCTTCAAGAACAGGGAAGAACCAACACACTTCAGCCTCCCGTGCGAGAGAAAAGCCTTGCGGTCTGAAGAAAGAAAAAGCCAAAGAAATGGATCCTGTAGAGCAGCAGCAGTTCACACTGGGCTTTTTTTTTTGTGGCTGAACCCCACGTGGACTTTCTGCTCCAGGGTTATCCTGCAGAGCTGCTACAGGGTTACCTGCAAAGATGTCAGCCTCGTCCATGGACTGAGTAGTGAACAGGATGACCTGGCCAGCTCTGTGCTCCTTGAGGACGTTCCACAGCTGGTACCTGGAAAGAGGATCCAGCCCAGCTGTTGGCTCATCCAGCAACAAAATCTGCAGAAAGGAGGAAGTCAGACATTATTTGCTGCTGGAGCAATTGCATGGCTTTTTGGGTTTAGTGTTCCCCTGAAAGCCTCAGGTCCTGAACGGAAGAGAGCCAGGCCACCTTTTCTGCAGGAATAACAGTTCTGAGAGCTGTGCAGGGAACTGCCTGTCTGCTTTAAAACTAGAGAGCAAAGTGAGCTACAAATTTAACACAAGGAAATTATTAAGTTTATTCTTTTTGATAGTTATGAGCCCTTTAAAGAGGTCATGGGCAAACTTGTGGTCAAGTACATCCATAAGGTTTTAGTTATGTTGGACCTACATGTTCCCTGTGCTGCAGAGCAGTGGTGCTGCTTTACCTGGGGGTTTCCAAGCAGGGTGATTCCAATGGATAACTTCCTTTTCTGCCCACCACTCAGCTTCTCAGCTTGAGTGTCTTGAATGTTACTGATACCCAGCAGGTCCAAAATTTTTTGCACCTAGAACAGCACAAGAATGTTCATTCTCAGCATGAGTTGTCCTTCCATCCTTTGTTAGCCATGAAGGAGCTGTGGCTGGGTCTGATGACAGTTTCTAGGAGCATGTAGTGAGGTCTAGCTTGTACCCACACCAACCCACCAATGGCAGGAGCAGCTGCTCCAGGAGCTGCTGCATCCCTTCTTCTCCTTGGGCTTGGCAGAGGAATAGCTGTGGTTGCACCAAGCCCAGAAGTTTGCCTAGCTAGACAACAGCTTCAACATTCAGAAGACACAGCCAGGTGGGCCCTTGGACCTCTCCAGGCCAAAAGGAGCCTTTACAGAAGCCTAGGCTTTGCCCACAGCCTTACAGTGCTGCTCTGGAGGAGAACCCACCCTTACCTCTTGCTCTGCCTCCTTGGACTTGATGCCTTTGATTTCTGCAAAAATTTTCAGATTTTGTTTCACTGTTAAGACTTCAAACTGGACGTTGAATTGTGGGCAAATGCCAATCATCTCTCTGATCTCTTCCCTGTCTCCTGCTTCAGAGAGGTTGTAGTTGTAGATGGTTGCAGAGCCTGTTTACAGGAATAAATGTGATGAGGTGGAACACACTGATCCCTGCAGCTTTTAAACCAAGCCCACTCCATCCCACCCTTTGCCATCCTACCTGCAGAGGGGAAAGTGAGTCCACTGAGCACATTTAACAGCATCGTCTTTCCAGCCCCACTGTGGCCCACCAGAGCAGTGATCTGACCTTCATAAATATTTAAAGACAAACCTAGAACAAAAACAACATCAAGTTTGGGAAGAAAAGAGGTGTGACTTGTCAAAGGCAAGACAAATGAAGAAGTATAAGGACTAAGTAAAAATAATTAGTCAGAAGGCCATTAAGCAAATTGAGGTAAAGTTCTGCCAACCTTGAACTCAAGGCATAAGAAGTTGCTCTGTGTTTAGCAGAACAGGCAGAAATACAACAATAGGGGAAAAAAATGTAAATCTTTCTTCTCTTTACTCTTATTCAAAATAGAAAGACAATAAAACCTGAACAAAATAGTGATCAGTTGCATCAGTTAGTATTTTAGATACATTTTAAAGCAATGCAAGTATTGTTATATTTCTGTGACTGACAAAAATGTTTGCAGAACTCGTTTTCCTCATCTTGAACAGGAATCAGCATCACAGCCTTCATACCTCTTAAAGCTTCTGTCATCTTGTCTTTCTTTTTATACAGCTTTTTAACATTGCTGAGTCTAAAAGGAAGGTAAGGAGGACATTATTTCAGGATTCCTGGAGATACATTTCCCTGATGACCTTAAGACCCTTATGGGTCTTAATTTAAAATGGCAGAAATGGCAGGTACAGTCAGGAGTACTGGGAAGGGATGGGTGAGATTCAGCAGGCTTTGTCATGTACATAGGGACATGACAAATAGGGACATGTCCCTCTGTACACAGGGACAAATGTCACTACCTGGGGCACAACATGAGCACCAAGCCTGGCAAAGACAAGGTCAAGCCCATTGTGACAGATGGCTGCTTTACCACAGGCTGTCCTTGTCTCCTTGTTGTCCCTAATGGATATGTAACAAAGTCCTGGGTTTTTAAAATCTGAATTTATCCAAATTTCACCTTTAATGACTAGCCTGAATTATCTGTTTATCTCTTCTGTATCTTATCTTTAATGTTCTTCTGTTTTTCAAGAGCCTCTTGAGCACAAAACCTGCCCAGTTAAGTCAAAACATGGTCTGTGGGAGCATTGAACCCAGGCTACCCGACTTAAAAGCATAAATAGCAATTCCTTCTCTCTCTCAACCTGATGGCCTCCTTCCCCAGGAATTCAGGGGACACGGGTTCTACATCATCACCAAAGAACTCCTCGGAGCTCGTTGCAGTTCTGGGCATTTCCCTGGTGGAGCTTCTCCTGCTCTGCAGCCAGAATGAGGGCTTCAGGCAGAAAAAAGGGGGCTCTGGGATGCCATATTTCCCTGGCAGGAGAGAAAAGAAGGTGACCTGTCATAAACCAAAGCCACAACCAAGACATCACCCTGGAGTAAACATTTAGGAGGTTCTAACAAGTACTTGGCTGCCTCAAAACTGGTACTATGTCCAGTTAAAAAGAAGAGAGGTTTCAGCTGGGCTGAAGAAGGATGGTTTCAGTGCTATATCTAATTCATTTAATATTTATTCAATGAATGAAAACATTGTCCCACACATTATCACACTATTTTCTTATAAACAGTTCAACAGCAGTACAATTAGAAAGAAAAAACACTAAATACTTTAGTGTCCTTGGTTTGGGAGTTACCAGTGCATGCCCAGAGTAGAGAAGTCACTCATTTTTTTACTCAACAAAACAATTTTGGTTGACTCAGGGAATGGAGCAGCCCATCATTTCCCTGAGGAGCTCTGACAGTCTGTATAAATCAGAAGTCTAAAAGGAGAAAGTGTGACCATGGGCATGAATCATGCCTACCTGGCAGAACCCTGTCGAAGTACATGGCCAGCAGCAGGTACAAGACTGAGTCAAGGACCAACACAATGTAAGTTGAAAATAAAATGTGTGAATCCCCCGTAAGGTTAGAAATAGAGAAACCTTTTCCATGTTTTTCTAAATGGAAAACCTGAAATAAAGGAAAAAGAAGAAGAATTTTCAGGCTGGAAAACTAGTACTGAACAATTTTTCCTCCTTTCTTTGACTGGGGAAGGGAATGAAATATTTACTATTTTATGTTTTTATTCAGAATTTTCCAGAACAATCTGGAAGCAGAAGAAAAGATCAGAGTTTGATAGAAAAATCATTCAGGAAACATTATATTGGCACCCTTGATGTGACAGAGTCAAGACAGTGTAATTTTACTTAGTGATTGATTTAACCATGTGTTAAATTGGCAGTAAACTCAGATTCTTTTTCTGCTGGTGCAGGAATCTCTTCTACCAGGCAGATTTTTTATATGTCAGGAAATCAGTTTCCAAATAACTGGGGCTAGAAAGCATCACTCAGATTTATGGAGGTACAATTGACAGAAAAATAGGAAACTGCATAGAATTGTCTAAAGTGGGGCTGGAGGGAGGATGGATCCCAAAGAGGGGATGGATGGCAGAAAACTCAGGGTTTGCAGAGTTTCTGTTGCCAGGAACAGCAGCTGCAGCAGGAGGGGAATGACCAGGTGGCCAAGGGCTGATGGATCTGAGCCAGGACAGCTACTGGGCAGGTGCAGCTGCAGAGGGATGCCCCATACCTTTGCAATGCCAGTACAGAAGGCAAAAGGACAGAAGAGACTCAGAAACCACTGCAGTGGGTCGGGAATATTTTCTATCAGCACAGCGAGGCTCAGGCATCCAAAGAGGAAGGTGATGAGGAACCCCACGAAGGTAGCAAGTTTGGAGGTCTTTAAGAGGGAGCAGAGCATGAAGACCATGTGGATCTGTAAGAACAGAAGTTTTCTTCAATCACTGAAGGAAATAAGTAACTTTAAATAACAGTAGCATTTCCATTTGCCAGGCAGACAGATTTCTGGTGAGCTGGGTCCATGTGTGAAATACACCAATGTCCTTCTTAGCAGGTTGATGTGAGTTTCAAATCAGGTCTTTTGTAGCCAACCTACTGCCCTTCAGACCTTCAGGCTGTAATCCAGGTGACTGCTGCTGAGTCAGAGAATCCACTCAGCTATTTCAGTTAGTCTAACCATGCAAAGGACACCGTCCTGAGCACTGGGCAGAAGGCCCTGGAGTGATGCTAGAAGTCATAACGTAGTCATAAATCATGTGATGAAAAATTTGGCTTTCAAACCTGACTTACACTTGCTAGGCCATACAGGAAAAACAGCAGTGAGACTGCAGGAAAGCTGCTGAGGTAGAAAATATTCTCCACCACAACAGCTGTCAGCAGGCAGGAGAGGACCAGCACATAACCAGCATACAGCAGACTCCAGGAGAGCCTGAAGAGGGAAAGGGGACATTACACTACTGCTTCATTAACAACTGCTGCTTCATTAACAACTGCTGCTACAGCTTCACCTGCGTGGCAGAACCTTTTTAAATTAGGTATTGCCCAGGGTCAACTTATTCTCTGCAGAACAGAGAGGGTGACCCACCTTGGGAGAAAATACCCAAGGAAGAAGAATGTCCTGCTCAACCCTCTGGTTTGTCCTTAGAGCATTGGAGGAAACTTATGAACTCATTTAACTCATTATCTGGCAGCTCAAGCGCCCAGGAGACGGATCATTTGCCAGCATAGACACTGAAGTCCCAAAGAGCTCACCAAAAGGCAATGTCCTGCAGCCCCATCGTCTTCATCAGCACTTTGAGCTTCTTCTTTTCTTTTGCAACATTCATTGTCAAGAAATACATGAAGGGAGAGAAACACATCACGAGAATAACCAGAAGGTAATTGAACTCCAAGGTGACGGTGATGATGCTTGGGGACTTCATACGGACACCAGCAATTGATTTCATTTCTTCCCAAACAGAATGATTTGCCACCATCTAAAGGAGTTCAAGGTCAATATCTCAGTGTCTGGCTTATTTTCTACAGTGAGATGTATTTATGTAGGGAACCTTCTGGTTCATCATCCCTAGATTTCTTTTTTAATGCAGATTTAGAGAAGACATCAGTAAGTAATGGAATAAAGCCCCATGGGAAGGGCTCATCTGACTCATTTGTGTGTCTGCACCTCAGCCTGACTCCCTCCCTTGTCTGGTAAGATAGAGAAACCCCTCAGCTCACTCAGAGGTGTGGATCCAGACACACAAGTGACTCACAGCCCCCAAGATCCTGTTTCTCTCTCTGAAAGCAAAGGTGCACAGTCAGGTGGAATGACCCCTGCACTGGTATTTTGTATGGAACAATTTGGAAAGGAAGGACAAGAAATGACAGCCATGCCTACTTGGACACCAAGCCATCCAGCAGATACTCATACCACCCCAGTCTCCTGCAAGAACCACCTTTTCCTTGAAATCTGAGAAGTACTCTAAATCTAACAGTGGTGTTACACTTGGTTCCCAACCCTTGAGATAATTAATCACTTGGAAGAGAAACAAAAGTTGTGCACATCTTCAAGATTAAATTGAAAGCAATCATTTTTTGTGGGAACTGCCCACATATATTGCCAATAATATTGTATCCAGGTTCTCACTGTCACTGCCAAGAACACCCAGACAGATGAGCATTTTAAGATACCTGCTTTTCTGCAGTATTTTCTGACAAGCCCATCCCTTGATGTTGTCACAGAACATTTTGTCTTTCCTCTACCAAGTTGTCAAAAAGAAAAGGGCACCTACATCAGTTCATGAACTGGATTTACCTCTATAATGGCAGCATCAATGCTGGACTGCAGGGACAGGAAGCCTTTGTACCAGTACCTTGGGTTGTCACAGTATGATGACAAGAAATCATAGCAGGTGTCTGCCAGGGAGAGAGGTAAGAGCAAGGAAAGGTGACTGGTTTTCACTGCAAAAGCTGGGGATAAACATGCATGTGCACTATGGGAAACTCTTCAAAGGGACAGTGGCCCACTGCCAAAACCCAAAATTAACAAGTTATCAAATCTTTTATCATCTGTAGATAATACCAACAAAGGATGCCTTGCCATGCCAGGCAACCACCCACCCACCCATTCTCATTTTGTATTACCTATGTATCCAAATTTTTCATTGGGAACAACCACACTCCCAGTTGGAAACCTGAGGTGATAGGAGAAGTTGTCTTTAAATACAACCCCTATAACTTCCTTATTTGAAATCCAGGCTTTTTCCAAGGCTTCCTCGTTGTCCAGTGCCTCTAGTTTTATACCTGCAGTTTGGAAGAATAATATTGCAGTGAGTTTCTGTAACTTTGGAAAGGTGTGCACAGGCTCTGGGTACATACTCTGCTCTTTTAGTATTGCAAATATTTTAGTATTTAGTATTCCTCCTTTCTGGGGGGCACCTGAAAATACTTCACCCTTTACCAGCTGGGATGAAGTGAACCTCAAAGGAATTAACCAATGGGTCTTAATAATATTATTCTACAAAGGCAGAGCTTTACATCTCAGAAGAACATACTGAGCTCACTAGTAATTTAAATACTAGAGGAGAAACACTGGTGAGAATAGAGGATTTGGTGTGAATTTTCTCCCCTGACTGAAGATACTGGAGAACCAGGCTCTATAGTAAGTTAAATAATGACATACTGAAGATACTGGAGAACCATTAAACCAGGCTCTATAGTAAGTTAAATAATGACAGAGCTAAATATTGAAAAGCCAAACCATACCTGTCATTAGAGAGTTCAAGGCCACTTTATTCATTATCTGCCTGGTGGTCACAGTGATGGGTGTAAAAGCAATGGTGTCCCCAGTGGCATTATAGGCAGGATCATCTAAGTGCCCCAGGTGGCCGAAAGGCACCTCGGGGTGGTGGAAGGGCATTGTGGAGTAGCACAGCAGGAAAATCACTGGCAGGAAGAGCAGAGACAGCACCCACTCCTGGGCAAGGGGGAGAGAGGAGGAGGGAATTTAATGATCTAAGAGCTTATTCTCTGGTGGATAAACAAGAGGCACTCAGTCACATGGAGTTCTTGGGTGTCAAGTAAATAACAAGGGCTTTGCAATGTGTCCATCACCTCAGGGAATCACCCTGCTCCAAGGGCCCAGCTCTGCTCTCATGCATCACATGGCATTAGGAAGGAATTCTTTAGTGTGAGGGTGGTGAAACACTGGCCCAGGTTGCCCAGGGAAGCTGTGGAGATCTCATCACTGGCAGTGTTGTAGGGCAGGTTGGATGGGGCTTGGAGCAACCTGGGCTGGTGGGAGGTGTCCCTGCCCACGCAGGGGGGTTGGATCTAGATGATCTTTAAGGTCCCTTCCAACCCAAACCATTCTACGATTCTATGACATGAGAGACATAAATATTATCACTTCAAAAAATAAAGTCTTGTAAAGTGTTCATTCCCAGTCAAGGATTTTCACAAGTATTTTAATGTTCCACTTCACAAACCAGAATTGAGGCACAGGGGCAGCAGGGACTGCCCACTCTTAGCTTCTCACTTTTTTCAGCTTACCTGAAGGCTCTGCATTTTCATCTTCCACTTGAGAAGTAAATTTTTCCACAGAAGAATTTTAGTTTGCTGCAATACACTCCTATTTCTCTGAAGCTTCCTCATCTTTGAGCCTACAAATGATGTTTCTAAAGTTACTTTCAAACGCAACAAAACGCAGAACAGCAACGGCTGCTTTTATTTGCAGAGCCCCTGCACGTGTGCAGAGTGATTCTCTTCTTCCCTTTTTACTGCAAGAGAGAGAGAGCTGAAGCAGCTCAGATCTCCTGTGCTGAGCACAGGGCAGCCCTGTAGCACAGCTTCTAGGAGGGACCATGAGACCTCCTGTTCCTCACCACACACCTGGTCCTTGCAGCTCAGCAGGACGCCCATTATAAGCAGAATTTCACACTCGGGTGCTGCAGCCTGGGGAGGCTGGGAGGAGCCATTTATGAAATTTAAAAATGAAGATCAAGACTACGTGACCTAATTGGCTTGGGTGGCCTTGACATCCAAGAAGTAATGACAGTAACATGGTGAATTAAAATCACTACAATATTTTTGCTTGTAATTTTAATGCGCAGTAGGGTTGACAGCAGGAAGCGTTGAGCAACTCCTGGCTGCAGTGGGAGCTGAGCTCACAGGGAAAGCAGCAGGGACTGAAAGCAGCTTGGAGCTGGAGAGAACAAATTCTTGGAAGTGTGTTTGGAGAGCTGTCATTGTCAGGGATCCTCATGGGGAACAGGAGAGAAACAGCCACAAGCTGCCTTGGTGTGTTACTCCAAAAGAGCTGCCAGGATCCGTAAAAAGATGTCAAAACAAAACAAGGATTTATTTCCTGGATTAAGGTTGGTGGTGGAAATGGGAAGTAACCATGAAGCCAGCAGCCCGAGTAGCTTTTGCAGATATGTCCATATTAACAGTTGTAAAATAATAATTAATAACTCCAGTGAGCAAAAGGGCTAAATATCCAAATGCAAAAGGGTTACACTCAGCTAGCCAAGCTACTTTGCTGTCACATAGGTAGCTAAAATACCCCTTCAAAAAGATCTTCTCTAAGAGGAGTCTCAGGTAGAAATGTCAGAGCATTCACAGACCTGATCCTTTCAAGCCTTCCTGTCACACAGAAGGAGGATTTACATTGTCTTGCTCCCTTTAGGAACTGATGTCTCACAGTGCTGGCAGGCAAGACAGAGTTTATCTTCTTCCAAATATTTGTATTCATCCCACAGGAGAAAAGGCTCTGCTGTAGTGAGGCAGCAGGCACCAAAATGCTGGAAAAGCAGATATAACAAATGCTCTTCCCTGGGTACATGCTGCAAACACACATCCTGGTGGGGCAAGGCAGGAGGATGGGGCAGGGACAGCAGCTCAGAGCAGAAACTTGCTGGTTTGCCATCACTCTCCAAATAGATTTTTCTCTTACAGATGTTCCCACTAAATCCAGGTGCACAAAAGTGTTAATTTACTCTGTGCTAATGACCTCTAGACTCCTTTGAGGAGGCTGTGATGTCAAACTTGCAATTGCTTGGTCACTTTTTCACCTAACAGAAGGAAGGGATAAGACAACGTGCACCACCCATGTGCATTTCCTCAACTGAACTGGAATTTATGTCCCAGCTAAAGCAGGTTCCCAGTTTCTCCTTCATTTTAATAGTCACAGAAGGTAATCCTGACAAGCTGACACACCACTGGAATTTCAGATTCACACCCAGAGATCCTGGGTGGGATGGAGAGCTGGCACACCAGGTTTCTGCTGCAGGTGTCTCGTGTGTCCTCCTCCCCATCCCACCTCCACACTGCTGCGGAGTTCAGGCATTTGGGGGAAACTTGACAGACCTGACCTCATTCCTCCTTCAGTATTGCAGGGGGAACTTTTAAAGACTGTAAAGACTTTCTAGATTGAATCTTTAGCTTACACTGCATATATGGAAAGAAATCAGCTCCTCACATGTGCTGGATTACTCCAAATACTGAGCTGAGCTGAACCTACCTCATCCTTTTAGAACCAAGAAACACTGGAAATACATCTCTGATGTAAACTGAGCTCAGTTGGTGTGTTCTTTCCTATCAAAGGGTAAACAGACTCTATTGCCTTTAAATAGTCACCAAACTTAATCACAAGCTTTAACTCAGCCTGCTAGAAAGACACCCTGTGTGGCACCCACACATATTTTCACCCAGTATTATTAACAGTGTTATCAATTACTGGATGTTTTCTTACCTTTTAAATAACAACTTGTATTTAAGAAGAATGTTTAAGCCTTACCTTAATGGGAAGGCTTGCAGAGAACCCAGAGCTTGTCCTTTGCAGTGTGCTTGTAGATCCTGAGCCTCCTTGGGCTGGACTTGCCAGTTGTCCCAGCAGCTCTCAGTGCTCCTTTGTCCACACACCCTTTTTATTCACTCAGGCCTTTCTGCCAAAAGGCATTCCTCACACCATCACTTCACTTTTCCCTGGCTTCCTCCCCTCTTCCTCCTTGGCAGTTCTTCAAATTTATTTATGGCATAACAAGCAAACAGAGAATATTGTTGCGGAGTTGCCGGAGCAGATTCTCTGAAAAGTTACTCAGGAAGTTCTTGAGTCTTGGCCAAGAGAAGAAAAACCACACAACAAACCACAGGGAAAAAAATAATTAAAAAATCCTTCCTCTGGCAAAGTCTGGTCTGTTCCTCAGTGCAGCAAGAGGGGCTGAAGTCGACAGAAATGCTCTGGTGTGCTGCTGAGGGCAGAGAACGTGACTGACTCTCTTCCTCGAATAGCAAAGGTTGTGTTTGCAAAGTGCCCGGGTGTCCCCAGCCCCAGCAGGGCACTGCAGCCCCTCCTGCTGCATCAGAATGGCTCCTCCGGTTTCAAAACGTTGTAAACATGGAAATGAACTTCTCTTGCCCCAATCTGTGCTGTGAATTTCATCCCCAGGCTGAGTGCATGACAGCGAAGCAGGGCTGCCCGTCCAGCACAGCATCCCCGGCTGCAGCCAGGATGGGGAACTGTTGGTGGGGGGAAGAAGCAACCAACAGGGACAGAGTCTGGGCCTGCAAACATGGAGGAGCTGGATCTGCTTCCCTTCGCCCTGCCTAGTGGAAAAAACCCCACCCCTAATATTCAAGCAACATTCAGGTGTTACAGTGCTAAGCAGACTACAGAGGTGTAATAAGTCAGGACACAGAATCAAGTTAAGATCCGTCCCCTGTTCACCTCCTGGGTATACAGGCCTTCCCCTCCCCTTTCAGCTCCTCCTTGCAAAGGCAAAAAAAAATAAAATATAAAAATACTAAAAAAAAAAAAGGAAAGAAGTAGATATTCCAAGTCCCAGTCAGTGATTCTCAGGAGACACCTCCCTGCCCCTCTTCAACAGAGGCACTGATGTTTGGAGATTGAGATGGAAAGCAGCTCTCTGGGGGTGTGTGGTGGCTGCTCTGGGGGCTCCCCCTGCCAGGGGCAGCCCAGCACTGAGCCACAGCAGCCACCTGCTGGCCCACATGCCTGCCTGCACAGGCATAACCCACCTGCATCATCCCTGTCTGTGTTGCCTGTACCAAACCTGCACCACCTGTACCTGCAGGGCCAGCACCGTCCACATGAGCCAGGGCAGCTCATGGTGTGGTCAAGGGTCCTGCTGCTGTGTCTGTCCCATGGGATGGCACTGCCCCATCCTCCTGTGGGTCCCCAGCCCAGCCTTTCCCAGAGGCTGGGGCTGCTGGGGACCAGGATGCTAGGGCACCAGGGGAAGCACCTGCCTGCCTGAATGCAGCAAGTTCCTATTTTATATAATCTTCTTTACTTATTATTTAAAGGTAGCCCTGGCAGGCTGTGAGTGAGGGTTTCAGAGCCTCCTCTGAGCTTGCAAATATTTCTCACTGCCTCGGGACCAGCAATTCAACCAAGCAGGGTTGTTCCTCAGCACAGCAAATCTTCTTGAGTCAGTCTGAGCAGGGCTACAGATGAATGGCAGGCATCGATTTGTCCAAAGATAAAGGCTTTATTTATTAAAATAACTGTTCTTTTTTTTCTTTGTGAGGCAGAAAAGCTGCAGAGCAGTGTGTATTGTGATGTGGGCAGCCCCATCCTGAGGCTGCACCCGATCCCAGGGATCAGTAACACTGATGAAATACACTGAATATTCTCCTTTGTGGCTCCAAGGGCTCAGGGGTGAAGGAGTCTCCACTCCACAGCCCTGTCAGACACAGGGTCCGGGTTGTGCTCCTCTGGGTCCCGGGTGAGATCCACAAACACCTACACAAGCCACAGCAGAAACAGCCCCGTTATTGCCAAGGACTGATGGTACCTACACTGGGGTCACAGGCTATTTCTTCTTTTGAAACTGTGTTCTTTTGAACTTCTACATCAATGTACCTGTTGCAGAGTGTGCAGTGACAAGCTGTACTCCTCCAGCCTGAAATTCTGCTTAGCTGTGGAGGGGTGGAGAAGGCATCCTTAAAAACCAAATCCCTATGATCAATCGGAAAGCAACCTTCATATTGATATTGTTTGCTTTTACCTGCTTCTAGCTTGGAGAAGGACCGGGACAGAGGCAGAGCATCTTCCATGGGTATCTTGTAGGTGAGCAAAGAAGTTGTCCTGAAAAATGGAATTGAAAAAATAATTCCACATTTTGCGAGTCAGCACCAATATTTTTTAGGGGATGCTTGTAGGGTTATTGTAGTCCCAGGGAAATTATTGAGCAAGGTCAGGAGGAGGAGCAGGGTGTCCCAGCACGAGCTGGAGGAGCAGGGTGGTGACCTTTCTTGCCGAGCCGCGCGCGGGAAGAGGCGCAGGATTTCGGCGTGGAGGGCATCGCTCTGCTCCGTGTCCTTCACTTTGACCTCTAGGTGGTAACTTGTGCCAAACTTACTCTTCAGATCCTCAAGGGAGCCGATGAACCTGCGGAGGAGGGAAAGCAGATCTGAAATCATCTTCATCAGCAAGCAAAGCAATCACTGGGTATGAGCAGCAGATGTACGTCCTTTTATCCACCAGCTGCTCATACTCTGCTCCTGATAAAACCTCCCTCCTCACAAAACTGCTACACACTTGGGACAATCCAAACCAACATTTTCTATTAAAATAAGAGGAGGAAAAAAGCCACCAAACGTAACAACCACCAAAACCAAACAACCCCATGCAAAAGCCCAGAGAAAATCGGGTGTCACCCTGGTAAGCGATGTCACCCCAGCGCCCACCGTAGCTGCCCTGACACCAGGATGGCCACCCGGTCACACATGGCTGCTGCCTCCTCCAGGTCGTGTGTGCTGAGGATGGCTGCCTGCTCCTTGCCCTTCATGGCCATCTGAATCACTTTCCTGGGAACAGAGGGGTAGCAGTGACTTCCGAGGAATAACCAAAGACAACCTGGTTTGTGTCACCCTCCCAGAAAAATGACTGAAAGGGTAAAACTATATAAAGAAGTGAATGGCTATTTAAAATAATTTAGTTATCTTGCTTGGAGAGAACGTGCCAATGCCATGTTGTCATTTGTCATGTCAGCATCCCTCCAAATTCTACACTTGCAGTTTAAACTGCTTATGAAAAGCTAGAGCAAGCACAGGGGTTGATTGATGAAAGGGAAGAACTTATATTTTTTCTCTTGTTCTGAAGGAAACAGTTTTGCCTTTTGTACCAAATGCACGAGTTCCTCTGGCATCTACTCATAATTTTTTTTGTGCCCAGCCATTAAAATTGCATGTAAAGGAGTTTGGTGAGTGGTACCTCACCCTCTGTGCATCAGAAAGAAGGGAAACCCCAGACATACTCGGCCACTGAGGCAGAAGCTCTTTGCCTGCCCAATAGTACAATAAAGAGGGTCAGGCCATTCTATTAAATCTGTTCTACACATCTCAGTTCTGGGAGAACATGCATCTCTGGCCTCTCACCACATATGGTGCTGCCCCTTGGGGTCCAAGCCTGCTGATGGCTCATCCCAAAGCATCACTGTTGGACCTCCCAGGACACTCAGTGCAAAAGACAGCTGAAAGAGGAAAGACAAAAGGGTCAGGTCTCCCCTTACTTACCTGGGAAACCAGCAGTTGTCCTGCTACACCCTGGTCCCTGGGAACCTTTTAGAAGCTGAAAATCAAACATGTTGGAGAAGCAAGGGTTCAAAAAACCCACCACAGGTGTTCTTTTTAAACATTTTATTCTCCCCAGATCAGCTTTCCCCAAAACTCCCAAGGCTCACCAAAGATCTAAAGGTGGATTTCCATCCCATTTCCTGGTGGGGCATGAAGAGGTGGTTACCTTGTAAATCCAATTTGTGAATAGAATTTATTAAACACACAATGTGAGAGAGTGTGGAAAGGGGAGAGGCAGATCCTGCCAGGCTGAATTCAAAAGTTATTGATGAGGACAAATCATGCCAGGAACCCCAACCTGCTGAAGGTTTTCTGTGCACCACGTTCAAATATGAAAAAGCAGCATTTGCCCAAGTACCAGACACAAATCTAACATGTACCTTTCTGGCTTCTCCTGCAGATAACCTCCTAGCTGGGGTTTTTAAATGCTTCTGGAGATCCAAGGCTGTTGCTATGCTGTGGGGAATGGAAAGGAAAAATACTGAAAAGACCATCTCTGCTAATGCTGTGATAAGGGGTATTGATAAGCCAAGGACTAACACACATGCTATGGCTGATACACATCACCTCGGGTTACTTGTTGATTTTACTCATAGCTCAGAGGGTAAATTAAGGACTTTTTGCAGAAACTCAAGATTGGAGCTAATGAGAAAAGTGAGTTACTCATGTAACTGACCATGACATGCAGCAAGTTTAATTTTTTTCTGAAGTGTTCTAGATAAACGAGAGTTAAAATCTTCATTGCCAAGGGATCAAGAACAGTATAAAGTAGTAGATCTCATCAGAATCATAGAATGGGTTGGGTTGGAAAGGACCTTAAAGCTCATCCAGATCCAACCCCCTGCATGGGCAGGGACACATCCCACCAGCCCAGGTTGCTCCAAGCCCCATCCAACCTGCCCTTCAACACTGCCAGGGATGGGGCAGCCACAGCTTCCCTGGACAACCTGTTCCAGCATCTTACTACCCTCACACTAAAAAATTTCTTCCTAAATCTCCCCTCTTCCAGTTTTAATCCATTTTCCCTTGTCCTCTCACTACAAGCCCATGTAAAAAGCCCCTCCCCAGATTTCCTGTAGGCCCTGCAGATACTGGAAGGCAGGTATGAAGGAGCCTTCTGTTCTCCTGGCTGAACAACCTGGAGATGCCACCTCCCCAGGGTGAAAAGGCATTGAAGGTGCTGTCTGCTAATCCCACTGGGCAGCAGACAAACCTTTCCCTGTCCTGTGCCTCTGGAGAGAGGCAGAACTGGAAGCTACAGGCATTTGTACCGGCTGATGTTAACAGCTGCATCTTCCCTGCGCATCCCTCTGACGGCCGCGTAGGTCTCCAGGTGCTGGAGCACGGTGAGGTCTGGCCAGAGTGGGTCCTGCTGTGGGCAACAGCCCAGGAGCCCCAGCCTGCCTGGCCTGGGGGAGGAGGCAGCTGCATCCCAGCCCTTGAGCAGCACCTGCACAGACACAGATGCCTCCCCTAGCTGGGGTGTGTGATTCCAGGGTGAATCAACAAACCCCCTGGAAACACGGTCAGATTTTCTCCTGCGTTGTGAGGAGCCCCAGTAGCACATTGGAAGACCAGGATCACTGGAGTGATCATCTTCATCTCCCACAGCTTCTGCTCCCCTGAATCCAGGACAAGGTTTTTACAAATGCAAATAGTATTTACTACCAATAGTACCAACAGGAGACTCTTCTGCTAATAATACTTTTCTATTCCAGACATTCAGCCCCAAGTCTGTCACAGCAATGGCATGTCCCCTCCCCCAGCACATCATTAACTGATGGATTGTTACTAGCCCAATCCTGTCCACATTTGTTTTCAGTTTCCTGGTTTTGCAAGGCTGTTGATGAAGAGCTTTATTACTTCTAAGATGTCAACATTTCTTACAAGGCTTGTGAAATGTCACAGTGGGTTTCAAACGCACAGTGAAGATTTTGTGTAGCTCAAACCCTTCAACCTGTAACACTGATTCTGGTGACAACTAAAAAGTGCTTTGAGCAAATCAACACTTTTTTCCTCTGTAAATACCCAGGGTTACATGTACATACATTCCCTGAATTAAGGGCTGCATTGCCAGCTCTCCTTATCACATCCTGCATTTATAAAGGCATCAAGATCAACCCCCAAATGCTCCAAAAGAATCACCCACCTCACCAGCAGTCGCTGCTTTATCTCCAGAAATCAGGTTTATAGTTGTGCTTTTTCCAGCTCCGTTGGGTCCTAACAGACCTAATACTTCTCCTGGAACAAATATGCAAGAGCTCTATTATTAATAGTTATTCACTTATTATCAACAATACATATTTTATTATATATTAAATATATATGTTAACATAATAACATAGCGGTTATTAATTAACAATCTTTATTATTGTTAACATGACCTGTGCCAGGCAACATCTCAAAGTATGGTAGAAGAAAGGGTTGTTCATTAATTCATTAATTTATCCCAATAAATTAAACTATGAATACAGGAGTGCAGGTCTGTTGGGGCTGGTTGAACACAAGAAAGCTCTAACAAAAATATGGTCTCCAAATGTGACCTTCACATTAGATTTTAGTAATTTATAAGGAATGCAGCAAAATACTTGAACCTTTTTTGACAGTAAAAGAGAGGTTTTTGATGGCAACTTTCTTCTTTTTCTTGAAGATGGAACTGGCTTTTGTGTCTTCATATTCCTTGCGCAAACAGTTGACAATGATAACTGGTTCCTGTGAAGAGATGACAGTGGGAAGTGAAAACAGCTCATCTGTCCTTACCATTAAGTGTGACTCTTTACAGAGAAAATGTCAAAATTTAAAATCCAGGAAACAAAGCAACAGGGCCAGGGTGGTGGGAGGAAAAAAGCAGAATTGGAGTAAAAAATGAGCACCAGCTAACTGCCCTCCTCTGCCAGGGGCACCATGGGCTGGGTGGTGAGATGCTCACTTGGGCACCAGGATCAGTAAATAGTAAGTGCATGAGTTAAGAAAGCAGAGACAGACCCCCAAAGATAGAGAATGAAGGAGAAAAGGAGCCAGAAGCTTTCACCTCCTCCTGCTGCGGGGAGCCCATCGCGCTCCTCACCCTCTCCCTCTCTGCCTGGACTTCTGGGGACTCCTCCCCAGGGTGGTCCCGGTTCTGGTGGGCAACTGGTCTCCTCTGCTGGATCCTACAAGCAAAGGAGGAGGAGAGGTGGTGTCACCAGGAATCACTTCCAAAAAGGCTTGGTTTTACCAGTTTATTCCCAGGGCAGCACCAGTGCAAACTTTATTAGAACAGAGGGAGCTGTTCCAAACTGGTGACAATTCAATAGTTTTCACAGATCTTCTCCCACATGACTTGGGTGGTCAATCACACACTGTTAGCAGCAGATAAGCAGAGAGCAGGCAGCAGATGACCCCAGCCTGACAAAGCTTTCAAGAAAGTCTCTGTCCTGCAGAGAGCATTGCTGACACATTTGACAATAAATGGAAACATTGGGTTTCAATTTGCAGCTATTCCTGCAGGCAGCTGCACTGAGATGTCCTGACGCCTCAGCTAGAAAGCTCCATTAAAAAAAAAAGCTTAAATCCTTTTTTTTTTTTTCCTCTCCTGGACACTGCAGTCCAGCAGACCTTCTGTTGCAACCCACTGGGTGGGAATTTTCCTCCAGACACATTAAGGGAAACTCCAGTAAGTAAAGTCAGAAACTGCAATGACCCAAAGGAATAAAAAAATCCCTCCCTTGATTCTCAGTTTCCTCCTCTCCAGATAACCGGGCTAGAACTAAACCCACAGGTTTTACCCACACTTTGAAGTTCCCTCCTGCTGTCAGGAGGGGACCAGGAGGACCCAGTAGAGCCCACCCTGTAGACTGGGGTACCCAGGGCACCCCGGCTGCCCAGGACACACCTGAAGATGGGGTCAAGTCTGGTGACAGCTTCTCCACATCTCATCTCCAAACAGCGCAGGAGAAAAGCAAAAACCACACAGTGGATGTAAGGCTAAAAAGCAATAATGGATTAGGTTTGTATGGAGACAAGGCAACAACACACTCGGTTGATTTTAATTACAAGGGGCTGCAGGGACCTCTCTCATTTACTTCAGCTATTGAGAAGGTCCAAAAGGGGATGTTAAATTGATGCTTTGCATACATTTCCATCTCATATGGAGATTATGCACAAAAGCCTTGACTTGATACTGCAGTTTTAGCTCAGACAACCTGCACCCCAACAGACATCCTACAGGATCAGACACCACGTCTTTCTTTTGTACAAGCACCATTAGACTGATGAGCTGATTAATAATAGCTCTGCCTGATACATGAGCTCCACTTAATCCTCCCACCATTTTCCCACATATGGTGCAGCATCCAGGGGTCACAGGAGACACAAGCCTGTGCTCACTGGGATGCACCTCCCCTGCCAACACTTCATGTGAAACTTTGACCACATAACCCATGATTTCTTTATGAGGAGAGTAATACAAGCTCAGTGCAAATCATTACAGCAGTCATCCTTGCCTAAACAACCATCATCAAATTGCTGCTTACTGCAAAGACAGCTACAAAGATGGGATTCCAGGACTCGGAAAGATCCACATCATGAAACGCTGAGTAATGCTACAAGAAACAAAAATCAGTCAGTTAGGAAAATTCCTTGGCACCGTGTGCCTCAGTGCAGGGTTGGAGCAGGTGTGGGATGTAGGGATGCTTAGATGTTCTTCAGGAAGGGATTAAGCAGCTTTGATCTGTATTTATTTTTTGGTGATCACACTGCCTCAAAGAGCTGTGCCTTCCTTGGCTACAGCTAATTCAGAGGTGCCTCAAATCAGCCACATTACGTTGACCTTTCTCATCATTGCTTCTCTCTTCCCAGCCCTTCCACCTCTTTCTGTCAGGTCCCTTCATCCCTCCAGGTCTTCCCACTCCACCACCTTCTCCTCCCATCTACCTTGCCTGCCAAAGTAGTCATCAGAACAGCTTTGTGCAACTAAACAAACTGAAACTACCAAACAAAGGATTAAGTCAAATCTTGTTCCCCTCTCATTCCCCAGCCTGGACCTTTTTTTTCTTCTGATTTCATCTCCTTCTTTGCCTTTTGACAGTTGGAATTTTGAGATAAGGAATTTGGAAAGCACACCTTGCTTTTTCAGTTTGCACCATTAGGAACATTATTTAATTTAGTAGGACGTGTTTACTTACTGGTGTGGAGAAGAGCAACCAGCCCAGCAGTGGAAACACAGGAATCAAAACAGAGAAGATCAAGTGAAGTGTTTCACCTAGTTCACTGAACACAAAGAGAGTGAAATTCACCTGGAATAAAACAGAAAAAGTACTTCCAGTATTGATGTATTGTTGCTAAAAAATGGGCTCTTTGCCACCAATTTGGGTTATTCTGCTGAACACCAGGACATTTGAAGCAAAACCTCAAGTGGCAAGATGTGTAAATCAAACCCTTTGGAGGGAAGATTCACTTCACTTACCAGAACAAAGATGAAAGACCAAATGTAACGATTGTTCCGCCCCGTGCGAAATTTAAAGGCAATAATGTAGACGAGGAGGACAAGAGAGACTCCATAGCCAAGGGCACAAATGACCTAGAGAGACAGAGGCTGATATCAGTGGGGCTTGGAGCAACCTGGTCTAGTGGGAGGTGCCCCTGCCCATGCAGGCGGGTTGGAACCAGATGCTCTTTAAGGCCCCTTCAAACTCAAACCATTCCATGATTCTAGGATACAATTCTATGCCAAGGAGATGGACGTGGGGATATGAAAACCTGCCCAGAGCAGCTTGGTTTTGTTTAAAACATTTCTTGCAAAAGCTCACAGCGAAAGGAGGGAGGGGGGTTTGTGTCTGCCCATTTTCCCCCACGCCAAGAGCTCACCATGGTCAGCAGGCTGCTGGCCTGCAAGGGGCAGAAGAGGTTGAAGAGCAGCACCACCCCAAACATGAGGCACACCAGGACCCAGAAGACGGGCACGTCCACCAGCGCCTGCCCGCACCAGTACGCCGAGGGGAAGAGCCCCGCCAGCCGCAGCTGGGCACGGGCCTGGAGCTGGGAAGCAAAGGGGAGAGGGAGGGGACTGAGCTGAGCCCAAAGCATCGTTCCTGCTCTTCCCTCCTCCTCCCTTCCCTGGCTGAGTCTCTCTCCCTTCCAAACACTTTCCGTTCTTTCTTAGCTTTACTGTTGGTTAAAAAGACCACATCGTTTGTCAAAAGGAGGAACAAACACCAACACAAACCCTCCTGACACCACCATCTTGATTAACACCCAAACTGTTCTCAGCCCAAGCTGATTCCTCAAGGTCCAGGATTGTGTGCTTTGGTACAACCTTGCACTCATGTGGCTGTATTTCTTCCAGCATCCTCCCCAGGAGCCCCAGCCAGCCCACAGGCACACCAGCTGCCATCCAGGGAGGTGGCATTTGCATTCACATCTTGGACAAGACCCACTTCTTACCTTGTAATCCTCCCTGCTGCTTACCACAAACTGAGGTGGCAAACCAGCAGCCAAAATCATCATGTAGCTTAGGCAGAATAAAAAAATTTCAGTCCTTATTTCTGGGTTTTTTGTCTGTGGAAGAGAAATTCAGAAGTCATCACTAACAAGCAGCTGCCCCAGGAAAATCTGGCTGGCCTGATGCTCACAGGGTGGGAAAACATGCAAGTGAGCAGTAACACTTCTGGTGAGTCATTTGTGTTTAGGAACAGAAAACCAGGCAATTAAAAAAACCCAAACAACAAACCCCACAACATCTTAAAATTTGCAAAAAGTACTGGAATTGCTGTAAATTGTTGAGGATAGAGGCCAACTCTTTGATCCTGATTCCTGAAAAATGTACATGGAAGAAACATGAGGCTTGCACATGTTACTGTTGTATTCCTACAATACTGCCATGTAGCACAAGCTTAAATGCCTGATGGCACTGAAACTCTACAGAGCCCTTAAACACTGCAGAAGAAATTATCTTTAAGTTGCCCTGAGTAGTGCCCCCAGGAACCAGCCAGCAGTTGGACCACTGACCCCAACCCTTGGAGGCTGCTCACCCAACCACACTTCCAACCCGTCCAGTCCTAATCCCTTCATCATGTAGTGAGAGCACAAGGGGTAGTGGATTAAAACTTGAAGAGGAGAGATTTAGATTAGCCATTAGGAAAATAAACTCTTTAGTGTGAGGGTGGTGAGACCCTGGCCCAGGTTGCCCAGGGAAGCTGTGGCTGCCCCATCCCTGGCAGCGTTGAAGGGCAGGTTGGATGGGGCTTGGAGCAACCTGGGCTGGTGGGAGGTGTCCCTGCCCATGCAGGGGGGTGGGACTGGATGATCTTTAAGGTCCTTCAAACCAAAACCATTCTATGATTCTGTGGTCCTAGCTATTCCAATGAATTGTCACTGGGAAAGGCAGGACACTCACGTTGTCAAAGGGGTCACTCCAGACGCGGATACGAGCTGTGGAGTTGAAGAGCCTGAGGAGGGAGGTGCTGAGGATATTGATCAGTGTAGGG